AGGTTCTGAAGCTGTGGTACAGCTTCAGGACTTCAGAGGTTCTGAAGCTGGACCACAGCTTCAGGACTTCAGAGGTTCTGAAGCTGGACCACAGCTTCAGGACTTCAGAGGTTCTGAAGCTGGACCACAGCTTCAGGACTTCAGAGGTTCTGAAGCTGGACCATAGCCTGGACTTCAGAGGTTCTGAAGCTGGACCACAGTCTGGACTCAGATCTGTTGTTTATTTGTTGTTTCCTTTCAGACTCATGTCTTTGGGAGGACCTCTGCACAGGAATTTAGGTTCTGTCTTCATCTTGAAACAGTCTCATTCAAACAGGAAGTTCACAATCWGAGCACTTCCTGTTAGTTATTTGCTTTACTTGGAGGTTTTTTTAATCTAAATGAGTTATATTTTATTTTTCAGCTGTCTGCCTCAGTGTGGAGGAGTCCAGGCTGTGGTTTGACAGTTTGAACACTGAGCACATGGACAGAACAGTTCTTTGGACCCAGGTGTCCTGACCCACCTCTGGACCGGGACCAGATCAGACCGGACCGGTACCTGAGTGTTTTGTGTTGGGATCTGCAGCAGCAGAGCCAGCGTGTTGGGGTCGAAGCTTTCATCCAAGGCGAGCAGCGCTCCGTGCACGCCGCTCTCATAAAGGTTGCTGCTGTACTCTTTGAGGCCGATGGCCTGGACCCAGGTGATGACACGCTCGTTAGTCCACACCAGCACGTCTGCAACACAAACAACAAACTGCTTTGTGATGACAACAGGTCACATGGGTTGTTCAGATTCATCACGCCTCTTTGAGCTTCACTACAAACTGTGAGGACTGACAGCTCAGTGCTCTGCACCGTCAGCATGAAAACACTGCAGAAAGACTGGAAACTGTCTGAGCTCATTTCACTGACAGCTTTTAAACCTAAACTAAAACTCTTCATACTGACTCCATTACTTGTACCTATTACCTCCACCAACGGCGAGGTAATGTTTTCAGTCGCGTATGTTGTTCTGTCTGTGGACAACATTACTCAGAAACTTGTGGAAAGATTGTCATGACATTTACAYCACATGTGGATACTGGCACAAGTAACACACCATTAAAGTTTGGTGATGTTCTGGATCACGATGCGGATACAGGAATTTTTTTCTTTTAATCCTCTCAGATCGGCAAAGCTGTGATGCTTTCACAGGGCTTCTGTAAAAAACTGTGACAGCTTTCAGTGTTTGGACTTCAAACTTTATAAAAGTAATGTTAAAACCAGATGTAATGATGAATAATTCTTGCCATAATGTGCACATTTTTACACATTTAGAGAACGTTTTGTGACCAGGAAGTGTGTGACTGCAGCGTGAAACCTATTTTTCCCATTTCCTCAAACACACCACATTGTCGGTAGGCTTGCACACAGATCGATGAAGATTGAGGAAGAGGAGTGACGCCGTGCACTTCAGACTCAGAGGTTGTTTGTTTGTTTGTTTGTTTTTATTATTATTTAAATGAGGCCGGATCAAGTCCAGAGCTCTTTGTGCGCCCCTCTATCCACCTCTCACCAAACTTTGGGGAAAAACAAAGTGCAGAGCATGGTTGTGACCGCTGTGTGTGGTCCTCACAAACATAGGAAGACGCCTGTGTGTGTCTGTGTGATTAGACACACAATTAAAACTCTGCTTTTTTTGTATCACGTAGCACCGATGTGAAAGATTTCAACAATAACATCAGGTGACCAGTCTGACTTTTTCCCTTTTTTCACATTGGACTCCAGCAGAAGACATCCCATCATACTGCTGCTTAAATGTTCACTACTAATGTTCACTATGTTCACTGCTAATGTTCACAGTGTTCACTACTAATGTTCACTACTAATGTTCACTATGTTCACTACTAATGTTCACTATGTTCACTGCTAATGTTCACTATGTTCACTACTAATGTTCACTATGTTCACTACTAATGTTCACTATGTTCACTGCTAATGTTCACTATGTTCACTGCTAATGTTCACTATGTTCACTACTAATGTTCACTATGTTCACTGCTAATGTTCACTATGTTCACTGCTAATGTTCACAATGTTCACTACATCAGAACTTATTCAGAAAATGTGTTTCCATCTCTGCTTTTAGTGCATTAACTCTTACAGGATGGGGAATTGGACTTGGTGGAGGTTTGCACTCTCTGAGTGTTTCTAGTTTTTAATTGGTTTTAATTTAAATCTTTTAATGTTTTTCTATTTGATGTCTTTAAATCCATCTTACTAAGATGTGACACTAAGTGCTGCATTTGCTGCTGCTGCCTCTTGAAAAAGAGGTTTTTAACCTCAATGGGACTTCCTGGTTAAATAAAGCTTATAATACTAAAGAAAGATAAAGAATAACAATAAATGTTATTTATAACACACTTTATATTGCACAAACATGGTTCCTGGACTGTGGTCCAGACCTTATAGGGGGGCTTGAGTTGAAGGGTTTTCCACTAAATAAAATCAGTCCAAGTCCTCTGTGGCTGCTTTCTACATTTATAAACAGGGTTGCACATAAGTGGTGCACATGCACGATCAAAAAAGAAAAAGTGCACCAGGTGGAACTTCATAAAGCTCACTTGTGTACCTGAGATTGTACCTGACTGTCAAAACAACAGCTGACAGGGCTCTAGAGTGAGACCAGTTTGGTCAGAAATGTGACCTGATTTCTTTAAAAATAAATAAAATCCAGCCACACTGGTGTGACTGGATTGTTGTTCGGTGCTCACCAAGCCTCTGGGCACTGGGACCCTGATATAAGGATTAAACTGACACTGCCTTCAACAAATCAGATGAAGTCCAGAGCCATTTTATCCAATCAGAGCAGAGCAGGGCGGGGCTTTCAGTCRGAGCAGTTTTCAGCAGCAGCTGCAGAGATCAGTCCTGACATCTCCTCCTGCACTTTACTCCTGAACTACCAGAGACTTTGGTCTGTAAAACATAACTTTATATTAAATATATGTTCAGAAAACAGATCTGTCCAAGTCTGTGACTAAACTGTCCTCCTGCTGACAGACAGTTGTGACAGGAGTGTGTCACTGTGTGTGCAGGCTGAGTCTTTCTGTGAGATTCACTGAGTTTTTCTAATTAAACCACATTAATTAACACAACATTTGTTTGTCCCATATTAAAGCAAAGATGATTCTTTGTTTAATTTCACCCCCATCAAAAAATTATATATATTTGAAAAATAAAAACAACTTGCCATGTTCTCTATGTGAATGAG